ATGAAAATTTTCAAAAAAAAATAAAATAAAATTTCATTTTTTATTACTTCGTTCATCACTAAACATCAATTTTTTCGAAGACGAAAAAACATCATCATCATAATCATAACCAGCATTACCCAAGATTGATTATTATTTTTATTATTGGGCTCATTGAGAAAATAAAAATGAGAATTTTCTTTCAAAAAAAAAAAAAAATTGATGACTTTTTTTTATTGGGGTAGCAATCATCGAGGTTAACTTGGTGAAAAAAAATGAATGTCTTTTTTTTGCTTTAGAAATCCACTTTGAACGGAAACCGATTCTTGGAGTGAACTTTTTTTTCGGTTGTTATTGCCAACAACAACAACAACAACAACAACGTTCATTGTCATTGTCAAAAGTAAAAAAATTATGTATCCAAAGAATGTTTTTTTTTTCGATTTGGACGAAAAAAGATTTCCGGGCAATTTCTTGAATGATAACAAAAAGTTTCTGATCACAGTTTAACCTGTGTGTGTGTGTTTGGTAACGAAAAGAAAACAAAAGCCACTGATATTCCAGAATCCAAATCAATCGATTCGAGAATCATTATCATTATCGTTTTGAAGAATAGAACAAACAAGTGAAAGAATAAAAGTTAAAAGTTTTTCGTTATCAATGACGATGAATGATGTTATTTATGTTTCATCTTGATAATGATTTTTGCGTATTGAATGGATATTACTCTCCAAAAAAAAACAAACCAACATTTGGCCAACATTTTTGCGTGTCAAATGTATCTAATCAATGGCATCTAACTAGCTAACTAGCTGAAAAAAACATGGTTCACATATGGACTATGACCTGATTTTTTTTTTGAATCAATTTTTGAATAATGATAATTTTATCTCTCCCCTAAAAACCACATTCATTTCGACATTGGTTGTATTGTTTTTTTTTTCATTGATCAAATTTGATGATCAATGATCAATGATATTTAGACACGAAAACTTTCGAAACGAAAAAACGAAACGGAAACAAACCAACATGAAGAATCATGGATATGCATGATTTCCGTTCATTTTCCTTTTTGGTCCAACTTGAAATGAATGACATTTTATTTTTCCTGTGTGTGTGTAGAGAGAGAGAGAGAGAGAGAGAGAGAGAGAGAGAGAGAAAATTGTTTACAATCATATTTAT